CACACACACACACACACACACACACACACACACACACACACACACACTCTGGAACATTGCTTTAGCTGCTGGCCAGGTGTAGCTGTTTGTGTGCGTGTTTGTGAATGTATTGTTCAACAGAAAACATAAAAATAGGAAAGAAAGTGATGCATATATTATAAACCACCATATGCTGTGCAATGGTACACTGCCTACAACCTTTTGGATGTGTGTGACCACTTGACATAGTTTGTAAGGTCTGAATTGTAATATTAAATTGTAAACTGATTTTGAGCACACTAAGTGTTCATAAAAATAAACATGCCTGATCATTAAAATGGTAAATAAATGCCAAGACACACTGCAAATCTCTTGATAATAAATAAGAAAAACATGGCAGTATGGTCCTCTACTGCAAAAAGGGATATTTTGAGTATTTTTGTATAAATATGGAAAAGGATTACTTAAAGTTAGATGATCTGTATGAGGACAATAAGAGACATTATAGACAGTAAATAGCATAGTAGCTGGTGATGAATAAATGTCCATATGCATCTGGTTTTGTTACTGCTAAACGGTGCACTAAACTCTTTTTAACAGGAGTGCAAAGAGGCGATTGGGGATCTATTTTGGTCACAGCCGGCGAGAGACAATAAGAAACAGTAGAGAAGTAGAGAGTACCCACAGCACGAGAAAACCCACCAACAACTACCAAAATCAGACCCATGTGCTCCACACAGTAAAGCTGACTGAGACACTGAGCATGTGCAGCAGAGGAACCATGATACCTGTGACTTGATGGGCGGATGGATGATCACATGACTACATGCACACAAAGAGCTACAAGTCACAAGTGCAGCATTCTTTTTTCAAATAACACGCTTAGGGCCTACTTAGTTCTGGTTTGTGGCCCACTTTGGCCTTTATAAGCCTGCTTCAGAGCAACTTTGGAGCATGTAGAGGACACCAGGGCTGAGGTCAGTTCGGTTCACTTGTCAGTTTAGTCCCTTTAAAGTGTGAATGGATTATGATTTAGCATTTATTGTTAGTTTAAGACATGAAACAATCAACATTCTCTTGCGGAGAAAGAAAAGTTTTAATAATTATAATTTGAATACTTAGATATAAATGATGGAGAATAAGGAGAATCCTGACCTGACTGACATGAACGTGAACTCACCCCCACCCTGGCACGGCGTCAATGAGGATGGCTTGGGCTGGTTGGTCAGAGCTGAAAATGTGTTTTGTCTTGAAAAAAGTATACTGCATCTTTAAAAATAACAACAACTAGCCACTAATAATTCGCCCCAATAAGATAACAGCAGCTGGGTGAGCTGATTGTTGATTGGTTGTTTACTTACAGGTAATAAGAGTATGAATAGTAGGTCCTCCTGGGGTTGTGAGCCAATCAGAAAGCAAAGAATGAGACACAAAGGTCATGAATGTGCAAATTAGGACACTACTGTCCTGTCCCAACCAGCAACAACAGAAACAGAAGAAAACACCGTTTGATTGCTACAACTTAAGGGTCATGCAAGGGTTTGTCATAGTAACTATGGGCACTATTTATTTAAAAAACTCAATTTGAATGCTAAATAAATACTACAAAACAAGCTTAGAGACTTATAAAACTATAACTGAAATAACAAATAACTATTAATAATAACATAGTCTTTCTTGTCTTTTGAATAAAATATTCATGCATTATTTATTAGTGGAACTCGCTGTTTTTAGAAGTCCCTGAACGGAGTTTTCTTTTAGCCAATAACCATTTCCTTCCTAAATAATTTGACTGACACAAAGCTCTGTGATCTGTAACACCACGCAGCTTGCTTCCTGTAAAGCAAGCATGATGTCATTGCAATGTCATCATGTCCCACCATTTTAAAGATGCAGTATTGTTAAAAGTTGTAAACGGTTTTATGACAATGAAGATTGATCTCCCCAGAAACCTTCATGGAAAAACTACTAAATGCTGTCAACATAGCTTCACTCTCATAAGGCTCACAAATCCTCTGATCATATCCATTTTCCAAATACACTTGTAAGACAATTAAAACAGTTTAGTTCACACACCAATCTAAACAAGTTTTCATATCTCAACACAAATGATGTCACAGCTCAAAACAAAGATGCTTTATAACTGAATCCAAACTTTTAGGACTCACTTTTAGCAGCTCGAGGGCACATTTCTAACCCATGCAGAGATATGCAAATACGTTTCCTCAACCAGTAACTGCTGTCACGAGTTGATCAATGTCGCTCGCTACACAGTCACATATGTTCCCATAAATTAAACAAAAAATGTAACTTAAAAAAAAGTAATGTAAAAACACCACACAAAGCATTAACCTAGAAACATAATTAAACTTAATACTTGAAAATATTATATTTCCAGAAATAGCATTCATCTTCAGTTGTTGATGCTGGTGATTTATAGCTTCAACCTGTCAGAAATACACTTAAATATAATATGTTAACATGATATTTCACACAAGCGCTGTCGTCCTGTGGCAGTCCTCGAATGCTTTGTGATCTGGTGCTTATTTGAAGTCTCCTTTTGCCCAAATACATAAACGCAGCTAGAGCTGGTTACAGTTCAAAACAACAACAGACTCCTCCCAGCTGTGCGTGCAATTACATAACAGTTGACCTGATCAGTTTGGACCAATTTCCTATTATCAAAAGGCTTGAAACCCTCAGAGGGACAGGGGAAGCTCAGTAATACATGCTACGGTCCTTAGGCCACTTAGTGCAAACTGCGGATCAAACACAGTCAAGATTTTGGGTGTATTTTTAAAATTGTATTCATCTTAAATGTCTTGTGATGTGTACAAGATACATGGTGGTGAGAAAATCAAGCTATTTATGCCGACACTTTTTTTAGATGTGATATAAGGCACTCAACACCTGAATATGCAAATGAGTTTCCTAATTATTCTCTTTTTAAATGAGGCACTCAGGTTCCCTGAACACCAGCTTTTAATTGAAAGGTCACAGGAAGTACGGCGTGTTTAGTAATAGTTAATAATTACACGCGTACACTTGTGTTCATGACTTGCATGCACACAGACGCCCTGAAGAGTACAAAGACATAATTCAGCCTCGTGTAACTTCACAGTTACTCAGGTTTGATGAATAGCGAGTAGGTTATATGCAAAACTAAAAATCGTCTAGACTTGGGGAGGGGTGGGGGCTGCCTTTAAAGCATGACGATGACTCTCCTTACAGCTCCAGACTTTTGACATGATAATATTAAACAATAAGTCACTGTGAACTGAAATAGGACGACAGAATAGACAGGTTTTTAAAGGAAATGGTACAGAAATATACAAGTTATACACATAACATGAGTTATATGTAGCCCTTTCTGTGACCATAAACACATGTACGTGTTATAATCTGTTTATAGCACTGTATAACTCCAGTTAAAAGCATTCACAAGTATTCATAATGCTTTATAACAATAATCACAACAAATTCAATTGTCATTGTTTGCAATGACATTGTTTACAGTGCTGTGAGGAGATTATAACACATTAAAAGTATGTTTGTAATGCATTATAGACATGGGCGTTATCTCCTCACTACTGTCGGTGTGATCTACTGCTTCAGCTGCTGTTGAGCTCTGCGGCTGCACTCACACGTTGCATTTGTGTTAGGCCACCACATGGTGGAGCCCTGCACCAAACTAACACATCACAGGCCAAAACGCTGACACCAGGACCAACTGGGAGTCTTCTCCATGCTATCCTAGATGGAAGTAAAGTTTGTGTGTGCATGCGTGTGTGTGTGTGTGTGTGTGTGTTAACCTAAACGAATAAAGTGCATGAAGCAACGTGTGTGCTTGATTTCTTTGTCAGCATCTTTCGGCCCTTTTTCCTCGATCAACTTTTCCAAAATCAACTTTTCTCTGCACAATTTTTTCTTCATCTATGTCTCCTTTCACCTCTGAAATACCACATTCTAGGTTTCTGGGATGTCTTATGTCTCTGATGTGTTTATATAATCCATGTGTATTGGAACTTTCTAATTTTAATCTTGAATAGTTACTTGACATCGTCTGCTTGAGGATCTCTTTCACTGTGTTTCTCTGTATTACTCTCAGTGAGTGGTTGTTGTTCCATCTACTTTGATTCAACAGCTGCACGGCACAAGAAGAAGAAAAAAATAAAACCCAACACAGCCTCAGATCTCTCCTGCACTAAATCACACAACTGTGAGGCAGGAGTTTCTAATTTTGGAAACACCATATTTTCGTATGGGATCTGAGGAAATCAAGACATCAGCTATTTAGTGCCTTATAAACAGAACAACCTTCAGGAATGTATAACGCTGGTTCTATAGGGAGATCAACGTTTATGGTAGATGGATGGAAGATGGTGTTACTACAGCAAATACCGGACCAACACACAACAAGAGAATGGGTTTAGGTGCACATTTGTATGTGTGTTCTTGCATCCGCATGTGTGTTGGAGTAGTACTGTTGTTCATGTAGTATATGCACTCTTCCTGATATTCTCCACTAAATATGCTGAATTAGCGGGCGTGGTCTGTCACTCACCTCTTCTTGACCAATAGGATGGCTACCAGCACCAGCAGTACAAAGACGAGGACCCCAGCACTGATCCCAGCGATCTTCACCACCCGATCCGTCTGCTTAGCGGGGTCAGGAATGACTTCTGGCTCCTCTGTAGCACCTAGAACATGAATAAATGCCAATAAAACAACGTCAATAGTGTGGATCCAACAGAATATCGGCTCAAACTACCAGAATACTACAGTAATGATTGATTATTTTGTAGTATTAGGTGTGGACACAAGACCATATTACATCCCCGTTTGTTAAACATTGGTGTATCTACAAGATGCAAAGGGAACATTAAAAGAATGTTTGCTTCGGTGAAAAGCTGCTGAATGACTTTAAAGGGACTGGCAATACCTAGTTTTTTAAATTTGTAGTTCTCACTTTTGTATCGTTTTCTTCAGAAGTTGAAATAAACAAACTTCTCTAACACTGTAACCTCTGAGATATCCCTCAGCTAAGTACTAAAAAGCTTTGTGAGCTTTATTGTTCCGTTATCGTGGTGGCCGTTGGAAATGTGCTCGCCATCAGGTGAATATACGTGTATAAAACATCCAGTCTGTGCTATATTTCTTTTAGTTGACAAGCCGCATTTGTTTAGCTTTCAATACTAATCTACTGTAGGATGTTTTTTGTTTAGTCAGAAACTTTCTGAGTGTAAGCCTGTTAAACAAACAATGGATTCTTGCCGCTGAGTATTTACGCAACCCTGTGTCACCAAAGGCTGGAACCGTATTTCACCGAACAGCCTCAGGAATGATGTTTGTTTTTTCTCTCAAGATGTCTTTACAAAACGCCCTGACATCAGGTAAGTGCTGAGTGTGATAAGGAAACAAATCCCACGGAGCCGTTTGAACAGGAAGGTTTAATCACTCCTCTGCTAAAGATCAGGTAAATATCAAGACTCGGAATATTCCTTGTAAAGCAAAAGTCAGACAACTGCAAACACGAATGCCATGGCAACTGTCATTAAGGATCCAAATTTACCAAAAGGTTTTGTTTGAGGAACTTACTTGGCTCAGAGGTCATAATTAACAATTAATTCTCACGCAGCAGTTGCTTCTTACGGTTCATATCTGCACATTTTAGCGTGTTTTACAGCAGGAATCTAACAGGTTTAAATCAGTTTTAGTTTTAGCAACGCAACAAAGAAACAAGATCTTTACAGACTCACAAACACGCTAGAAATGAAATACACATACGCAAATAACGAAATGTTCACTTGACTGTGCACTTGAGGTCATCATTAGAGTCATGCTCTCATTGGGAAATGCTTTTGAAATGCAATTTGACTTTCGCCGTCCAATGTTTCTGCACCAATGTCACAGTGTATTACTTGTGCTCAAACTCATTTCTGTTCCTGATGACTTCAGAGGATTGTCTGAACTCCCCGATTCCGTCCGCCTGGAATATATATAATTCACAAATTATGTTTTGTACGGAGTGCATGCTGCTGGCGGAGATTTAACCGTGTTGATCGTGCACAGGAAGTCAACAGCAAGAGAGCCAGCATCTGTTTTCATGCCCCGAAGCTTAGTGAGCTGATCCCATAACGCCAGAGTAGTTTTCCCCGCAACGTAAGGACATTATCATGCATTACGATAATCCAAATAATCCAACACAAAGACATATGCACGTAACTCAATATAATGCAATACATCTATCAAACAGTAATCTACTTCCAATGCTAAATATCAACAAGATCAACATAATCTCTCTCTCTCTCTCTCTTTATCTCCCTCTGTGTGTTTGACCCTAACGTATTCATTTGTTTCTGCTGCTGGAATCCTTGAAAGGTCCCCATCCAGCCCGGTGTCATTACGTAACGATGTCGCACTAAAACATGGAGCTCAGGTTGATACATGAAGCAGTGGTGTGTGAGCCCAAATGCTTTGAAAGGGTGAGGTGGACATTATTCTTTATTTTTCTTTTGGCAGGGAACTCCACGAAAAAAAGACCAAAACCGACAATCAGTTCTGTCCAACTTCCTTCCCCGTCTGTAGCACTCAGCGCTAAGACGTACAGTACATCTATACAACCCAAAGCACAAATATATACGGATTCATTTTTTAAAAAGCTAAATAATATTCAAAAGCAGCAGGGCACTGTAGTTCATGGAAAACGCCACTCAAAGGGGACTAAACTGTGCACTAAGGACAATTTTCAGTTGCGGATTAATACTCATTTAGTACTCTAGTGAATACTTACGGCAGCAGAACAATGCATGTGGGGTTGACTCAAAATAAAACATAGTGCCCACATGAAAAAAACATGTCAACCAGTGCAGCGGTGCGGCTCACGGATGCTTTCTTAATAGTTTTTGGACAACAATGGGACTCCATAGCACAGAGGAATAAGATACATCAGGCTTTGGCTACACATGCAATACTATACTTATATATATTATATCATTGCTGGTTTTGGTCTTTTCATGGTATTTGTTGATATTGAGAAAACTATAGAATATCATCAGTCTTATTCTTTGAGGTTTCTTTTTTTACCACAAGACGAGCTTCATGAAATTGGGAAATACTTTCTATGAATCAAAGATTATGACCAAAACCTGCGATGTGAACAACGTTGCTAAACATGGACACAAAGAAATAACATTTCCACGTTTCTTTCTTAAGGAATAGATCCTAGCACAAGTATATAACAGTTACAAGCGATATAATTTGGATGCAAGTCACAGCAGAACCTACGCATAAATGCCAAATGTTGAATATGCGTCCTAATGTTACTTACAGAGTTAGACCAATATATTGGCCAATATCAGAATGATTGGGTTATATGCGGTTCACGAAGGAAATTATGGTAAAAAAATACCAACAATGTATTGTTTTGTGGTAAACAAGGGTGGCTTAAACTCCAAATCATTTAGCATTTATGACTACCTACTAACTGTTTCACCTACTTTAGTTCTAATAACTGTCGGATCTATCAATGGGTAAAGGGCATCCAAACAAGACATGACAACAAAGAAAAAAACAATCTTTAAAAGGCTCTGAGTCCCGAGACCTGACCTCATAACGTCGACCGGTAGCTCTTAATGTCTGTAAAAATTATCCAGGTCAGTACACCAACATTCACAACTCACCCACAGAGTTACAAACACACACACACACACACACACACACACACACACACACACACACACAAAACACCCTGAGGCAGCAATGACAACACACACTACCCCAGATGACCTAATAGGACCACCATCGCTTAATCCTCCATCCCGGATGCACGGTTGAGTGCACACACATGCAGAAGGAAGGAGAGAGAAAGGAGGCGACGCTCGTCTGACCTCTCTGTCCATTAGTCTGTCTTTCTGCCTTATTAAGAAGAAGAAAAAACCTAAACTAAGTTCAGCTTCACTAAGACCTCCTAAGGCTGGTGTCATCTCTTTCTCGCAGCCTTTGGGGAAGTAACCGACCTGTTCTAGTAACTACATTCTTGAAATAGGATGACACTGGAAACACAGTAACTTTCCACATTTTCTCTTCTTTGGGAGCGGAAACATGACACCTTGCAGGCACCGAGGGGGGGGGGGGGGGATTGAACCACTCCTTAGATCTATCCCATGGGATGTATTTCCTAAGAGCCTACAGGCTAACACGTCTTGGTCACATTGAACTCTGCGGCCCAAAGAGAAAAAAAGGTGAACAATGCCAGTTATTTTCAACCTGGTTCCTTTTCTCTTATAACTGAGCCGTTTCATTTTATAGACACAAGGAGATAACGTGGAACAATGCCACACACCACACCATTCATCCTCTAAGCTACTCTACAGTGTCTTTATAAAAGACACACAAATCAATCAGCCATGATGATTCATTCTGCAACAATTACGGCTGATTGCGCTGCAAATTATGTCACTTTTACTGTCTGGTTTTATGCTCCTTTGGCACTAGAAGGTCAAAGCAATGGCGTCAGCTGAGTACAGAAAGTGATTGCAACTATTCCCCCCCCCCCCCCCTCCCCCAATAACACCCATAATGCAGTAGGACTACGTTAACATTCAAGTATCATGACTACTACTGTAAATATGACATCAACCTTTATTATGGCCTTTTTATCTCCCTCATATTGTCTTAGATTGCGTTTAAGTGTCGACACAATAGAATACAGACTGAGTCCGAGGTATTTGTATCACAATGAAACGCTTACATTGACATTAATGCAGTCTCCTCTTAGTTCATTCATCATTGCTGTTTGTTCACTACTGGTGACCGTAGAGCTGAAAGGATTAGTTTACAATCAATGGACTTGTTATATTTTCGTTTTGCCTTTTCACCTCCGTTTGCTTTCTAGTTCTGCGTTACTTAATAAAATAAACACTTAGATGACCTCACTGTTCTTTGAAGCTCAACACCACTGGCCACCAGGATTGTCAATTTCATTGAAAACATGATAATGTATTTTTCTGTTTATCCTTGATCTTACTCTGATCCATCAGCCGCATTTCTAAAAATCTTTCCTGAAAACAGTGTGAGTGCATTTGTGTGTGTTTGCGTAAGTGTGTGTGTGTGTGAGGTTGCCCGGGGATTAAACCAGACTGATAATCCATCAACATATGGTCGCTGGTAAAAACAGGACATCTAGACTGCGTGCACATACAGGAGCTGAACGTGCACACAAATACTTAACATGTTTTTTTCTCTCTAGCATGCAAAACATTATGTTGTGTTAAGTTACTATCAACACAATCACTGCATCAGTCATAATAATAAATATCAGATTATGAACAATCATTAAGGGACGATAAGCACCTTAACGAGATAAGATTAGCATAGTGGACCAGACATAAAGATGCATTAAATTAGTTTAATATTATCAGTGATATCCACAAATGTATTCTCTAATTTGTCCCAGCAGCCAAATTCAAAACATGTGTGCTAACTGACTTGTATATGTCAAGTTAACACTGATCTGGGGTCTTTTTTGACATAAAGTGGTATTAAGAGAGACGGTTCTTACCTTTAGTAGCAAGCCTCAGACACTGTGTCTTAGTTTCCTGAAGAAAAACAAGACACATGAAGTCCACACACAACACACTACAGCATTAACTAAAAGAACCTGACTTTGTATGTTAACTACTGTACATGTGTATTTACAGTACAAGCAAAAACAAGTGGGGCAAGTGTCTGCAGTTGTTTTATGTTTTTAGGTTCTCTCAGAAGTCATAACTGCTTGCAGGTAGAAGCTGTGATGTAGTTAAAGTGTAAGTAGTGTCTCTTTGAATGTGTACATACAGTATATTTATTCATAGCAGCAAGCAGGTGAGCATTAAGAGTTCACTGTGTGTTTAGTGCTTCTTCCCAGGAATCAATATTTACATACCCTCTCCGTGCTGCTAACAGCTTGAAAATAGATGTTGTAGTTCTTTCTCGGGGCCAGAGGAGGATTCCAGAAACCCTGGGGATTAAAAGAAATAAACTTTATAAGAGCCTCAACATATGTAGACTGTCAGCTACTAATTTCACTTATTATCTCTACTGAAGAGGACATGTTTGTTTGGTTTGTCTCTTTGTTACAGGATATCCTATCTTTCTCATTTTTGAGAAATATGCTTGTTTGCTTTTCTTGCAATCAGTTTAAGATTGATGCCAATCTCATGTCTGTATGCTCAATATGAACATTCAATTGCAAAACTGTTTCTTGTCTAAGTCTCTGCCAGAAAACAAATAAGCGCTTTCCCAAAATGTTGAACTGTTCCTTTAACAAATTTCAATTCAATCTGATTGAAAGATGTTGTTGCAGCTGATCCAGGATCCAGGAGCTTTTTGCAAAGGCATTTATGTTTATTTTTTCTACTGCACTTGCTTAAATGAAGAAATGATGGCACATGCATATGGTATGGTTAAGAATAAACCCCCTTGTATGAAGGTATATTATAAAACTCAAGGTAGCTCTAACATAATTCCCCCCTTGCCTGTTACTGCGAGTGGATTCCACACCCCTATTCTTCTGCATTTTAAGCTACAAGTTTACTATAATTTCTATTCGAGTTATCTTTTCACCTGACATTTGTGCTGCACTCCGCACAGAATTTGTTGCTCAGATAAAAAGGCTTGCCTGATACGTCTTGTTGTCTCCAACAGTGAAGGGGAGCGGCTCCGGCAGGTGGCTGGGGGACAGCTGGGCGGCATAATAGTACGGAGATCCACCGCTAGACGCACTGTGGTAGGAAACCGGGACCTGAGAAAGAAGATACGTTTACATTCAAATAACATGTCTAAGAATCTGCCTTACAAAGACAATGTCAGTTTGCTAAACAGGAACTTTTATTCTGCAAACAAAAAGTGAGGTGGGATCTAAATGTCCAATGGTCTACAGAACAAAATGGTGGCTATCTACTCTGAGATGTATTTGTTTGAATGTGTAAGATAGCAAATAAAAACACATATAGATTTAGATACATTAGGCTGTAAATGCATGTGTGTAGAAGAGATTTATAGTCACCTCATAACAGTCAGAGGAAGCTTGACGACGTGTCCGGTGAGGATTCACTTCCTCAACTACAATTTGATAGGCACTGTTGACGAGAAAAAGATGTGAATACATTGTTAGATTATTATTTGTTGATACATTAATACATGATGAATACAATATCATAACTAGAATCACTGGTTGTATGTCCCTGCCAGTCATATTGCAGTTTTTATCCTATTAGACATTTTGCGTGAAATTGTCACAATTAGCAAATTACTTGGTAAGTTATGGTACACAATGTGTATTGTGTGGTCACAGTGACATTTGACCACCAAATTCTAATCAGTTGAACCTTAAGAGCAGGTGGACAGAAATATAATGCCTCCACCCACTGTTGTCGGCGGTTGAATACCTCAATGTTACTCCTTAAAAATAACATGGTTGTTATTATAGTGACTGATTGTACTGTAATGCACAAGCGTGACCAATGCATCGTTCACAAACATGTTTACAAAAAATAACTACTTGATGTTGACTATTTTTATGTCTTACTAGTTGCTTTACATTAAGGAGGAACTATCTATGCACAAAATACACAGCGATCACATGCTAGAAGCTGTGGACTCTCGCCAAATACAGGCTGTTTTGACAGAAGCCGGGGTTTGGCTATGTACTGTATATGTAAGCAGTACCTTATAGGGGCCCCCTTGGCCTGGGCAGGTTTGAGCAGGATAGTGATGGTTGTTGCAGTTTCATTCAGGAAGGCCTCTGACCCATCGTACTCATCTATTGTCGGGGCTGAAGGAAGAGCACGAGTCTGTATTAGTGTACACGTATCACCTTGCTGACTACCGGAAAGAATGTGTGATAATTAAAACATATTTTCTACCTGAAATATTAGTAGTCACGTTGAGTGTGGCTGCGGGGCCGAACCCTTTGGAGGTGGATGCGCGTATAGAGAGCTGGTACGTGACGCCTGGGTGGAGCTGGGAAAAGAGGTGATGTGTGGCGTTGGAGGGCAGGACCGTGAGTCCCGGCCGCTGGAGAGGCACCGAAGGGTCAAACGAACGCACACCGCTGTAGCTGATCTGAGGTGGGGCAGAGAGACAGAATCACGGTTTATACGTTTTCCCAGGCTGAGTGATAGTTTGGCTCCTGCAACAATTACTGCTCCAAATGCTTTTGCTCATAGTACCTCATATTGTATGATGACTCCGTTGGGCTCAGATGGTTCCTTCCAGTAAAGAAGAATTCGGTCTTCGAATGGAGTGGCTCTTAGTGACTGACTGGGAACTGAGCCTGGAACTGTTAACACACACACACACACACACACACAGACACAATTAATAAAATGCTCATCAAAATAACAGTAAAAGTCGGTCCTCCAAATGAAGGAGTCCCTTGTAAATGCATACCAACAACAGGAATACACACAGCACAGCAATGGCTTTCCTCAAACATGTTGATGTGTATCCCAAGTTATAGTTCAAGAGGTTTCTTAATTTCAATGTGGCTTTCCCAGAAAATGACAGGTTGACATCCTAGCGTTTGAATTTGTTCTACTTCCCAGCAGAGCCTGTTGCATCAGCTAAATTTAAAAGTACCAGTAAATTTAAGCATCACAGCATTAGATGCCTTTACTTTCCCCCCTAAAGGCCTTTGCACACCACTACTCTCTAATCTTTCACACAACCTTTGTTTTGTGACCATCCCCGATCCCAAGCTGTTCTCAATCATACAATACATAAATATAAATACACCATCGCACCATCTTCATCAGTTTGTATGACGGTCTCGTCGCTCTCTTTCCTTCCCTCTGGATTGGTCAGAATCATCTTCAGACTGACGTTGGTGTAGGGTGGCAGGTTCCCCACCAGGTGGCGTGGTGCTGAGAAGAAAGATAACATAAAAACATAATTTTGTAATGCATTTAGGCCTGCAGCTAACGACTATTGTTCTTCATATAAATTAGTTATTGATCTATAAAATGTCTTGTTTTGTCCGAACAACATCTAGAAACCAAAGACAACAATATAAAACAGAAAATTAGCAGCAAATCCTTTACATTGGAGATGCTGGAGCGATGGTTGACATTTTATTTAGTTGTGGAAAAACGATTTACTTTAAGAAACCTACTCATAAGGCAGCCTTTATGAATGCAATGCAATAACAAAGCCTGTATCAACAGCTACAGTGAGTATTACCTTTAGGGTCCATGTCCAAGCAGTCAGCTTTGCTGCGGTTGCTGGCAGTCATATAGTGGTAGCAGATGGTGACGTTAAAGGTGTGACAGCGAGTGATGTTGTAACCCAACGACTCCCAGTCCACTGCTATCAGACGAGATCTGGTCTCCGCAATCTTGAGCCTCTTCGGAGTCCGCATAGGCTCTTCAGAGAAACAGAGGAGAACACGGGGAGAGGACATCAGGAATTTCCTCAGTAACCCAACAGATCGTTGCCATATGTTAAGACTGTCGCATTCTGCTCATAAATCATCATCATTCTTTGATGACACACAGTGATGTGAAAGTACACTTTAGTGAACTTCCAAATATTTACTTTAATTATTGTGCGGTGTAAAAGCCAATTGTACTTTGCGTTGCCAAAAAAAAAAAAAAAGAGCAAGAGTGCTGAGTCAACATTTCCCCCAAGATAAAACAAGAGATTGTTTTTTTTTTTTTTTTTTTTTACAAACATCTACTTCTGCTGCTCGCTGCCATTCAACCGTTTCTCAAATGCAATAACTTCTAAGAGGCACGTCTTTGGTTTCCATCTTTTATGTGAAATCCGAACGGTTATTGTCAATATAATCTACCTTCTCTCCAGCCTGCCCAGGGCTTTAATTACCTTAACTGGCTCATTTAACTGGATCAATAGGCCCCCGCAACCCACCCACCTCTACACACACACACACACACACACACACACACACACACACACACACACA